TTCTTCAATTTGATTTTGCTCTTCCAGTACATTCCCATCCTCATCCTTGATCTTCACAATGTTGTTCAACTTTCTTTTTGCACTTGCATAGGAATGAAAAAATTTAGAATTGTAATCTCCATCAACCATCCATTTGACTTTAGCTATTTGTTTCTACCATGTGTTCAATCTAGCCAATGTAGAATTTAGCTCCAGCACTTTGACTTTTAATTTCCAGCAATCTTCTTCAGAGAGCCAACCAATATCAAATTCTTTGTTTTGAAGCTCCATTATATCTTCCATCAATTTTTCTTTAGACAAGTTCAGATTTACCTTCTTAGCTTTACTCCAAAAAAAAAAAAAAAAAAAGAGATCTAAGAGATCTTTTGAATTTTGAGTTTTGTATGTGAGCTTGACTACCCTGATAATTAATAGCCCAAGCCTTCTTGAACACCTTGAGTGCAGCTGGATAAGAAACCAACACATCCTCAAACTTAATTTCCTTCACACTTGGTGATTTCAAATTGAGAATATTGAGGATGATGGGACAATGATCGGAGCTATTCTAGCTAAGTGCTTAACAACCAATTGAGAGGATAAATTTAATGCAAATGAGTTTAAGAAGCACCTGTCCATCCTTTCCAAGATCCGAGCTCCTCCAACTTTGTTGTTGCACCAAGTGAATCGTGGTCCAATGAATCTTACCTCATGGTAATCATTGTTAGTAAAGAATGTCTCCATTTCCTTAGAACCTTGAGTGTTTTGAAACCTTTTCCCTCCTTTCTTGTCTTCTCTTGAAGTGAGACAATTGAATTCTCCAGCAATCACCATGGTAAATCCAATAGAATAATGGATTCCCAATATCTCCCAAAGTTCCCTCCTTTTACTTCCTTCCTTATTGGCATAAACTGTAGCCACCCTCCACTTACTATTGTTGTTAATCAAGAGATCCCCAATGATGCATTGATTAGAAGAGTCAACCAATGTGAAATCAGCCACATTTGCATTCCATAATGCAATAATACCACCTGATAATCCACTAGAGGACACCATAACATAGTTCCATCCATCTCCAATAAGAGTATTGACTTCTTTTCTTTCAAAAGAAGACAATTTAGTCTCCAACAAACCCACAAAAATCACATTATGCAATCTCACAAATTCTTTAAGGAATAGTGAAGCACTCCTCTTTTTTGCTCCTCTACAATTCCAAAAAGCTAATGAATACATTAATGAGTTATGGGGGAATGAATCCCCAAAGTACCTTTTTCTTCCATTTCCATTCTTCTACTCCTCAAATTTGAACTGATAGGACCCAAGTCCTTTAATTGCTTAGATTTTTTCTTCTTCACTGTATTTGATTCGCCTTCTATACGATGCACCATAAGAGTTATGATACTACTAGACTCAGTAGTTATCATATCTAGAGGTTCTTCCATAACTTGATTTTTAGCAAAAAATTCAGGAACTATTTCCCCCTCTTCAACATGGCTGCTCAATATACTAAATTTATTACTAGTAGATGGTATCAGAATGCTCTCACCACCTGGAATATTAGTCCTAGAATCACAATTATACTTTGGTTGCTCCTCACCTATCACTTATTGGTTAGTAATTTTGAACACTGGAGCATCATCAACCTCTCTTTCAAACTTTTTAACTTGATCAGCTTCTCTGTTTCCCTTAGAAGCATTTCAAGAAGTCCTTGTAGACTCTTTCCTTTTCCACAAATTCTTGTTTACTATTTGAAGAGGATGGTTCTGAATTTGATTTTGATTACTAAATGTCTTCCTACTCCGGTTCACTATAAGCCAGGGCCCATATCCAGTTCCCTCTATAGTCCCACTTTTTTCAATTACAGCCTGAAAATGTTATTCTGCATTATTTGTTCCAGAAACAGATATCTTCTCCGAATTGATTTTATCTCCTACACCTTCTTTGCATCCTTCTTTATTGTGACCGATTAGAACACAATTGAAACAAAAATTTGGAACTCGTTCATACTCTATTTTTTTGGTAAAATCTCCCAGCTTTCCCTTCTACCCAAACACCTAGGGGTAGCTTGCTATCCAGTTGGATCCAGAAACAAACTCTTTTGAATTCTCTTCTTCCCCATTGGAACATGTTTCCATCAATCAAATATGGTTTTCCAACCATTGAGGCAATTCTACAAAGATTGATATTATCCCAACATTGAAGAGGTAGATTTGGTAACCTGATCCAAATGGGAGCTGTCAAGCATTTTAGAGAGTTTGGAGAAAAAAGTTTGAGACCATTTATCCATCCCAATAATCTTCCCATTGACAAACCATGGTCCATTTGTCATAACAGCTTCCATATGCTCTGGTTCATAGAAAGAGCATAGCACCCATCCCATGCCTAGCATAGTTAGGTGAAACTTTTCATACTGCATACACCGTCTCTTGAGTTTTGAGCTGATAACCCGTAATGGAGGATCTCCTCCAAACACCTTGATGATAATTGAGTTGCTAAGCTTATCTGCATTATCTTTTTCATTTTGCTCATGCAATTTCACAGTCACTCCGTCGTCAGCAATGAAATTACCCAATTGAAGTTCTGAAACTTTGATATTCTCTTTTTTCCTCCACGCATTCTTCAGTTCTCCGGCATAATCTCTAGTCAGGCTTGGAACATCCTCTCTACAAACTCCCTTATTAGCTGATTCAACCTCTCTAACTTTCATCAGATCAGAGAATAAGATTTTATCTAGTTCCACATTCTTATGTTGTTTTGCTGAATTGTTCTTTCCTTCCAGGATATTTGTATTTGCAGGGCTAGAAATACCCAATGAGCTTGGAAAAAGCGTCTTCTTCTCCTTTCCATCTACATTTCCATCCGGTGAGGAACTTCCAATCATAAATGAATTTGAAGACGGCAATGCATCTGAACCTTCAGAAGGTATCAATGCAACACTGCCTTTAAAAACTTTTTTGACATCTTCTTCAATAATTATGCTTTTCCTTTTCCAATCACTTCCGGTTCCCCACTTGATACAAATCCACCTTCTTTAATAACAATTCCTTTATTTCCTCTAGATTTATTTCTAAGATTAAAACCATCTTTTTCATCATCGAACACCGGCAGTGAGAGCATCGGATGGGATGAAACATTCATAACCTTCGGAACAAAACGACAATCCTCCAGGGTCCCACCGGCAGGAAGATGATAGCGAACGTCCGCCGCCATCTATCTCCATAACTCCCGTGAAGAGATTAATTTGAATTCCCATGAAAAATTCAAAATGTTTTCTCAGAGTTTCTCTCACTAGTTTCTCTCATTCAAGAGTGGTTTTATTGAGATGACATGTTGAACTATTTATCTGCATGACATGGATAACGCCACTTCTATCCTCCCTTTATATATGTTCTGAGTGTGTGATTCTCTTTCTCTCGTTACTGCCTTAGTCCCTCCAAATGCTAAGATGAGCCGTGTATGTTGACTAAGCCACTTGAGCATTTTCTTTCTCCTTTGAGTAGGAATTTCCTAGTCTCCCTTTTGTGTGCTAATCCCTTATCTGGGAAGAATAATATTGGATCCTTAATCAAGAATTTTCTCGGGCCCTAGGCTCGAGATGTAAGTAATAACGGGGGCTTCCGCCCGTGGGAAACGGAACCCCACCATCAAATAAACCCCACTCGAGCTGATGTATCGAGTGGGGGAAACCCGTTGTTACAATCAGGTCATATATATTACTACCCATCAGGGTGCGCTGGTGAGAGCCACTATCCTCAATCATTAGTCGTATGTACAATCTAATCTGATCTTCCATTATCCTGTTTGCGAGAAGCATAGAGGCCTGCGATTGTTTTTATCCCTCAGGATGGTGCGGTCGTATAACCTCTGCATTCCGCAGCCGGCCGTGTTCCTTTTGGAGGTCCACAATGACATGCAAATATGTTCATGACATGTTCATACTAAAATATGATGAAATGCAACAATATATGCATAATAATGTGTGATGGATATAATGTGAATGAGATGGATAAAATAAAAATGCATATGCATAATAAAAGAAATGGTTATGAAAATACGATCCACATTTTGACAAATCTAATGAAATGACTGAGAGAAAGCAGGTTAATAAGCTTTATTTAATGATTGAAAGATAGTACATAGAGAGCTCCTTAGGAAAATGCTTGACTTATGTGTGAGTATTTTTTAAACTCAATTGATTGAAATATAGTACAAAATATGTTTTAGGGTTCAGAAGAGAAGTCCAATAAACTCAATCTAATCATTATTTTTAAACTCCTCAAACATTGCTAGTGGCCTCAAGTAAGAATCAACCACCTTGCATCACTTGGCTACCTTTTGGTTTACTTATTTTGGTGCTTTTCTTGTGTGCGTTTTGTAATAGCTTGAATCATTAGCTCATAGGTTTTCCTTTAAATGGTGCATTTTTAGTGAGCTGATGATTCCGTAAGGACTTGTAACCCCCTTTTTTTAATTAACTCCTAGGCCACTTTGTATTTTTTGCAAAAAAAAAAAAAATCATACAATACGAAAATGTTTGTATAGTACAAATAGATAAAAAAATTGAAATTATCTATTTTGGAAATGACAAAAAATTATGAGTTTAATTTAAAATAGTTGATCGTATGTATAAGATGATATAAATCATATAGTACGATTTGTCATTTCAAAATGATTTTTTATTTTCTATTAATTGATATGACTTGATTCTCTTTTTTTTAAAATCTGTCATATTAATTATTAGAGCAGCAGCATAGTAATTAATCATAGATATTAGAACATGAGTTTGTATTAGCTTAATCAGCTTAATTCTCCATCCTATATGCTCTCCACACGTGTACCTATCTTTCACTTTAACAGTCTATAAATACACACCTATGTACCTACTGTAAAATTGAATAATATAAATATTAATTCCAATCATCATTGTCTTCTTCCCTGTCTCCGTTCTCTGTTCTTGCTCGACGGTTCTTAGCCTTGAGCTTCTACATGGTATAAGGCCTTTCTTTCCTTCCCTATCTCTAGCAATGGAGACATCACTCTCCGCTTCCTCCTCTACAGCTGAACAACCATCTAGCACTCCGGTTGAAATCTCTCCGATTTCCCCTTCCCTCAAGTTTGTGGTCTCCAATCTCAAGACCCTCATCTCAAATCAAATCTCATCGGATAACTATCCGATTTGGAGCCATCAGATCATCAAACTTCTTCGAGCCAATGACTTCGATCAATTTCTTTCCCCGCTTATTCATTCAGTGGACTCATCTGATCCTTCCGCCGCCTTGACGCACAAGAACTGGCGCATCACTGATCAGAACCTTCAGGCGGCCCTATGTTCGACGATATCCCCACCGGTGCTTCCCTATATACTTCACCTCGACACCACATACGAGATCTGGCAGGTTCTTGAAAGCCAGTTTCAGGCAACCAGCCGCTCCAAGGTAATTCAGCTCAAAAATGAGCTCCACCATGTTTCTATGAAGAATCTTTCAATGATTCAATATCTGACCGAGATCAAGAAGCTTGTCGACCAAATCGCCTATGTCGGTTCCACCGTGGACTCAGAAGATATAATTATTTATATCTTGAATGGACTACCTCCGTCATATCAATCATTCAAAACATATATACGTAACCCACCCACTCAGATCCGGTTAGAGAATCTATATGCAATGCTTATCAGCGAAGAAATTCACATCACCGCCGATGCCACTCACAGTTCCGCCGACATCGTTCAACAGGCCGCCGTGTACACAAACATGGGACGCGGTCGACGCACCAGGGGTCGAGCTACACAGCCTCAATACTCCAACAGCCGATCAGGCAACCAACAACAACCAGCTCACATTTGCCAGATCTGTGCCAAGAAAGGGAATACGACTGACGTCTATTGGCATCGCATGAATGCCTACTAACAAACAGACCAACGCTCTCGTGGCAAACTCGGATGCACAATCCTATGACTGGTACCTCGACTCTAGGGCTTCCTCGCACATGACCAATGCTGCAGACAATCTAAATCAAGTAACTCCTTATCCTGGATCCGACAGCGTCTTCATCGGGGAAAGAAGGATTATCCTTATTGCTCACTCGGGCACGGGCATTCTTCCTACCCCAACTTGTAAGCTACACTTATCTAATTTACTCCATGTTCCTGACATCTCGTACAACATTCTCTCTATTTCCCATCTTATTAAAGACAATAATATTTCTGTCACATTTGATCCCATGGGTTTTGTGTTTAAGGATCTGAAGACAAATCAGCCGCTTCTTTGCGGTCCATGTAGCGTCAGGCTCTACCACGTCTCTCCTCCGGACATGGCAAAGAATCCTGCATCCGCACTTCAGGCGTCCAAGAACCAGCATTCCCACTAGCACGACCGACTTGGCCATCCTAATCAACGGACTCTATAACACATCGCTCATAGCAATCCTACATTACAAATTACGCATTCGATTACTCCATGTATTACTTGTATTCAATGCAAGTGCCACAAATTACCGTTTGAATTATCTAAATCTAGAATGAAATTCCCTCTTGAATTGTTGCACTCTGTTGTCTGGGGACCGGCTCCGGTCACCTCTCCTCAGGGGCTTCTTTTTTTTCTCATTTTTGTAAACGACTACTCACGTTATACATGGATTTTTCCGCTTTCACATAAATCTGAGGTTCCTACTATTTTTATGCACTTTACTACGTTCATTGAAAATTAAACAAATAAAAGATTAAAGCTCTCCGGACAGATGGCTGTATTGAGTTATTCAATAACCAGATGCAAGCATTCCTTCATTCCAAAGGGATTCGGCATCAATTTTCCTGTCCTTACACCCCTGAACAAAACGGAGTGGCTGAACATAAAAACCGCCACATCTTGGAGACAACTCGTTCCCTCATTCACAAAGCTTCCATTCCACCGTCCTTCTGGCCTGAAGCTAGCTCCATGGAGGTTTATCTGATCAATCGGATGCCATCTCCAATTACTCACAACAAGTCCCCCCTGCAGCTAATGTTTAACATTACACCTGATTACAAACACCTACGGACCTTCGGTTGTGAATGTTTCCCCCTGCTACCCAAGCACGCGCGTACAAAACTGCAACCCAAGCCTCATTCCTTCGTCTTCATGGTCTACTCCGATATCCATAAAGGCTATAAATGCCTCAACAAGGATTCCAACAATATATTCATTTCCCGCCATGTTACTTTCCTAGAAAACTCTTTCTCGTTTAACACCACTACCTTTTCTCCACAGCTCAGGCTCGATGACATTCCCGCCTCCATGCTGCTACACGCGTCCAAAGCATCAGAAGTCCGACCAACGACCATCTTGACACCGCCATCCATACCAGCACCAACTAGATGCCCGTCGCCGCAACACAGTTCAACCAGCCGGCTCAATCCTGCTGCCTGTCCCACTTCTGCAAACAATCAACCACCAACCCCACCGGTTCCCAAACATCCTATGACTACAAGAATGCAAACGGGCTCTTTAAAACCTTCCCAACGCTTTAATCTGCTCACCACCAGCTCTTTCCCGTCTAATCCCGATCCCACCAGCTTCACGGAAGCAAATAAGCATCACGAATGGCGGCAGGTCATGGCCGAAGAGTTCATCGCCCTTCAACAACAGGGCACATGGCGACTCATACCATCTCCTCCCAAGGCACCCATTCTAGGCTGTAAGTGGACCTTCATGAAGAAATTCAACTCGGACGGCTCGATCGCCAGATTCAAGGCGCACCTAGTAGCTCAAGGCAACCAGCAAGAGTATGGAATAGACTACGGCGAGACTTTTTAGTCCGGTAGCAAAGCTACCCACCATTCGAGTCCTATTCACCATCGCTCTCTTTCACGGCTGGACGGTGTAGCAATTGGATGTCTCCAATGCATTTCTCCACGGCCAACTCACAAACACCGTCTACATGGCACAACCACGAGGATTCGTTGATGACAACCATCCGGACCACGTCTGCTGGCTACAGAAATCCATCTACGGTCTACATCAGGCGCCGCGCTAGTGGTATACTACCTTCACTCAGTATCTGCTCAAGCTCAGCTTTGAGTATAGCAAAGCAGATCCCCCTCTCCTCATGCTTGATCACAATCAAACCCACATCTTTCTTCTTGTCTATGTCGACGACATCCTCGTCACCGGCAACAACAACGAAGCCATCTCCAACATGCTGTCGAAACTACATTCTCAATTCAACATGAAGAACCTAGGACCGGCTCATCACTTCCTTGACATCAAGATCCAAAATCTAACAGATAAGTATTTCTTATCCCAATCATCTTACGCCTTATCGATTTTAAACTCAGTTAATCTCACTGAATGCAATCCTCTCTCTAATACGACTTGCACCAAACTTCTGGCACAGGTACCTGAGGATGCCATTCTCTCCGCACCAAGAACATACAGAAGGATTACCGGATCACTGCAGTATCTCACTCTAACCCGTCCAGACATAGCCTACGCCGTCAATGTGCTATCACAACACATGGACGAACCTTCTTCGCAACATGTCTACCTACTCAAAAGATTGCTATGCTACCTCAAAGGGACACAGACATTCGGTCTACCCATTCTCAAAGCTCTGCTCACTCTATCTACCTATTTCGATGCCGATTGGGCAGGTGATCCAACAACAAGGAAATCCACCACTAGCCATTGCACCTTCCTAGGCGACACGCTCATTTCGTGGGTTGTCAAGAAGCAGACCACGGTAGCCCGATCCTCCATGGAATTTGAGTATCGAGCGCTCGTGGCAGCAACTGCGGACAATATCTAGCTTAAGAGATAGCTCAACGATTTCTTCATCCCACACAGTTAGCCAATAGATCTGTTTTGCGATAACATGTCGGCCATAGCCCTCGCTCACAACCCGGTGTTTCACGCACGAACTAAGCACATCGAGATCGATCACAGGTTCGTTCGTGACCACATTCAGAACCAGGTGATTCGTCTCCTTCCCATCGGCACAACTTACCAGCTCGCTGATCTTCTGACTAAGCCGCTCTCTACTCCAAGCTTACAGGAACTACGCTCCAAACTGACCGTTCGAGACGAACAATCCGCTTGACAGGGGATATTAGAGCAGCAACTTAGTAATTAATCACAGATATTAGAACATGAGTTTGTATTAGCTTAATCAGCTTAATTCTCCATCCTATCTGCTCTCCACACGTGTACCTATCTTTCACTTTATCAGTCTATAAATACACACCTATGTACCTACTATAAAATTGAATAATACAAATATTAATTCCAATCATCAATTTCTTCTTCCCTGTCTTCGTTCTCTGTTCTTGCTCGACGGTTCTTGGCCTTGAGATTCTACAGTAATATTATACAATATGATTACTCAAAAGACCAAATGCTCAAACAAACTTTACAATTTTTCTATTCTTAAAGTATTTGTACTATGGTGTATGTGTGTTTGTTTGTTTAACCCAACATATTCATGTACAAAAAAGAAGACTAAGAAGAAAATTACAATTTGACACACTTGTTTTCCTTGAGATCTCTGTCTTTGATGGCTTTACATTTATAATATTGAGCTCGATTCGATACTCTTCTTAAGCCTGTGTATTACGTGTTGAACATCATATTACTTAAAATATTAGTTTAAAAGCAATAACTTGCACGCATAACAATAATTTACATTAGCATAATCATTAATACTTATGACCGTCAAAATCTTAGTGTATGCACCAGACTCATCGGGGTCAACAATAAATGCCACTCATGTTCTTTGATATACAAGAAATACCTTTAAATAAAGATAATAATCAACAAATTAAAATAGTCAATCTCTATAATACAAGAATGATACTACACAGAGTAAAACAATTTTAGAACTCTTCTATAAGTTTTAGAGAGTGATCACCAATTACGATTTCAAGAAAAACTTTTGGGATGAACACTTCATATTTTATTTGAGATGATAAACTTCTGACTACAAATTATTTTTCTAGTTTTTTATTTCCCTAGATTTTATGCGGAATAACTAATATTTAAGTATTTAGAACATCAAATACATATTGGAGATGAATAGAGAAGAAAACCAACCCAACATATAAAATTTTTGACAAAGTAAATAAAAATAAATAAATGAAACGAACTTCTAATGGCTCCAAACAATAGCCCTTCAAGAAGAGTTCCATGAATTAGTACAAGTTTTTAGTTATGTGATAATAATTTTAAATGAAATTATTTCTAAATAATTTAATAAGTCAATGTAATAAATTAAGCTCAATTTTCTTCACAATTTATTTAAAATTTATAAGTAATTGGTTAATAAAATTAATTATTTAACAATTCAATCATATTCTACATATTTAAGGGATTGGACATTTAAGATCAAATACATTTGCTAAGTTAAGTGAGACATAAATTAGAAAAGATCACTGATATATAGATTTAACATAAAATTCGTCAAATAAGATAATAATAATAGAATTATCTAATTAGTTATAACTAGCATAAAATAAGCCTAATGAACAATTTTAATGAAATAATTAAGAAAATTAATATAAAAAAATTTGCTAAATATATTCCTTAATCATATAATTAAGTATATATTTAATTAACAATATATATAAATAGAAAATAAGCTAAATATATTACCATAAATTATATAATACTACGAATTATTTTTTATAATAACTCAAATATTACTTTTAATACTTATAGACAAAAATAAATTCATTTTAATATTATATCCATCATCCTTAGTCTTTGATAAAACTTATTCAATTAATTTACATGTATGCCTAAAAACTTACACACTAGAATAAAATAATTTTGCATAAATCTTTGGACTTAAGTTTCATGAATTCTCCATTTGAGTTCATCTCCATGTGGTGAAAGCTTCAAGATTGTCCGATGGACATTAACATTGTTACTATAGCTTCTTCTAATTGGATTGCGAATAAAAAAAAAGCTAAAAAAGTCAATACATGACAATATAGAATGTTTAATATTAAAAAATCACCAATGAGTCATAAATGAGTCACCTTGCCTTCAACTTAACCATCTTTCATATAAACATTATAGATGAGATAAATCACATCCTTTTGCTTCAATGAGCATAATCACCTTCACTATTTCAAGGAGAGTTATTTTCTTGGAGAAATTATTATGTGCGGAATTCAGAAACAAAATTGCATTTGGACTGTAAGTATAAACAATGTGTATACACTATATTCTTTTATTTGTATACAGTGTGTACACTCACATGTCTGGACACAACATTGCATCCGGGCCCCGCACAGAGTAATTTCTCATTTTCTTATCAAAAGGAAAAGATACAAACCAACGCCATCAGCATTAGTAAAAAAAATGCTTCTATATTGACATGGACGATTTTTTTTTTAACTCTGTGCTGTAATATAAGTCCAGCGTTAGGCGGTGGTCTTGACGGAAGTCTGACGTCACACAATAGTCCAGCAGAAGTCTGGAGTCAGGCATTAATTCTGACGGAAGTTTGGTGTCAAGCGATGGTATGATGGAACTCTGATTCTATTAGTGGTACAACAAAATTTTTGGCATTAGTCGGTGGTTCGGTGCTGGATTTTCATAACTATGATGTCAGGCAGTGGTCCGGTTGAACTCCGACATCATGTAGTGGTCTGACGAAACTCTTGTGTCGAGTGGTGGTTTGGAAATAGTCCGGCGTTAGGCGGTGGTCTAGATGGAAGTCCAGCATTAGGTGGTGGCCCGGCGAAAGTCTGGCGTTAAGTGGTGGTTCTGATTGAAGTGCAGCATCAGGTAGTGGTCCTAAGGAAAGTCTGGTGTCAAGCATTTATCTAGAAAAACTCCGACTTTTGTTGGTGGTCCGACAAAAGTTCAGACCTCTTTCGGTGGTCTAGGAGTAGATTTACAAAACTCTGGCATCAAGCGGTGGTCCAGCAGAACTTCGGTGTCAGGCGGTGGTCCTGACGAAAGTCCAGCATCAGGCAGTGGTATGGCAAAAGCCCATCATCAGGCGGTGTTCTTAACGAAAGCTCTACGTCAGGCGATGGTCCTGCTGAGCTCCTACGTCAGGTGGTGGTCTGGTATAACTCTAGTGTCTGGTGGTGGTCCGATAGAACTCTAGCGTCTGATGGTGGTCCGAAAGATCTCCGGCGTCAGGTGGTTGTCCGACAGATCTCCGACGTCAGGTGGTGGTCTGGTGGAAGTATGGGTAGTGGTCAAGGAGGAGCGAAGAGGCAAGAGTGATTTTTGATATCTCTCTTTCATGAGAAGTGGAGGTCCTATTTATAGATTTCTTAGAGTGGCATGTCATGTAAATTAGTGGAAGATCAAGGATAAGTTGGGAGTGGTTTGGATGGGCATCTGATGTTGAATCCCTTGATCATGGATCATTTATTAGGCATTTGAATGATATTAGAATTTATGATCCTATGCTCATTAGATTTGTCTCGCCGAGCCGCTCAATTTGATTATAAGCATGTCATATTTGGAAACCATTTGGCAATCAAAATTGTGGTTTGAAACTTCCACTTCAGGTCCTTGATTTGGATCCATTTGGACTCAAATTGACTCAAATTTGGTGTCGTTGGTTTGTATTTTTGAGACGTTTAGTTTGATTATAAGTTTACTGAAATTAGAGTTCGGATGGTCCCAATTTTAATTTTTGAAGTTTACAACTTGATTTTGCCTTGAAATTTGTGCTCGGCCAAGTTATTTTTTTGATGGTGTATTAATTGCCCCTTATTTTTGGACATTAAAGCCTATAAAATCCAAAAATATATGTTGCAACTTTCAATGTTTTTTTGATGTGATTTGAAATTTGAAAATAATTCAATCTTGGGTGTAGAGGGCACATATAGCTTTAAAAGTGCCAAAATTTAGCCTGAAATGTTAAAAAATTGTACCTGGGAACCCAAAAACATTTGATTTGGCTTTTCTGGGCCAAAAATTGGGTCTAAACGCAAATTGACCCACATGGACTACTAGCTGACCCATCGTGTCCCTGACCCGATTATGAAATCTGGCTTGGTCATGCTTGCGACCCGACCTGGCCATGCTCTTTGGCCCTCCCAATTTCATGAATGTTGGCTAATAGTGGAGTAATGGGTTGGGCTGAGCCATGACTTATTATTGGAGTAGTGGGAAGGTGGGAGTTATGGGCCATTAGTGGGGTAGTGGAAAGGTGTCATTAGTGGAGTAGTGGGAAGGTAGAAATTATGGGCCATTTATGGAGTAGTGGGAAGGTAGGAGTTTTGGGCCATTAGTAGAGTAGTGGGTAGGTGCCATTAGTGCAGTAGTGGGGAGGTGGGAGTTATGGGCCATTAGTGGAGTAGTGGGAATGTGCCATTAGTTGAGTAGTGGGAAGGTGGGGTTCAAATTATAATAAAAGTATAACATTTTTACAACTTCTCTAGCTTCCTCCTTTCTATTTTCAATATAAATACCCCCTTAGGGGTATGAAAATATTTTCCCCTCCTCATTTTCTCCTCTTCTCCTCAGGTTGAGGCCTTTCCCTATTCCTGTTCAGGCGATATCCCCTATTCAAGTTTAGGGCCCCTCATTTAGTAGGAGTCTCCTTCTACTTTCCACTTTTCTTCCCTTATTTTTTCAAGCTGAGGCCTTCCCCTGGTCCTGTTCAGGCGGTATTCCCTGTCTAGGTTTAGGGCCCCTCATTAAGTAGGAGTCTCCTCCTCCTTTATTCTTTTCTTCCCTTCTTCTCAATGTTAGTCCTATTCTAGTTCGAGAGATCTTTTCCTGTCTTTTGATAAGTAGTATCCTTTTTCTGATTGCATGGACCTTCCCTATATAATGGTC